TATGATGGATGCTATCAATATTTGTTTGATGAGAAATGAGATATGAAATTACAAAGACCTAGTGTATTAGTTTTCGACCCTTTGTATCCCGTAATCATATAAAAGAGAGGGGGGGGGTTGAAGATAAATAATATGAGTGTGGAAGCGAAATAAAAGGTTCTGATTAATATCCCTTATACAATGACTTAAACGTACTAACAATATTAAAAAAATAAGTTCTCTAAAGGAAATAGTAGAAATGAAAGACTATAAGAAAACTAATAAACATCTCGGCATCTACTCGCCGTCTTCTTACGGATCGAGCTTGGGAACCAAGTCTTCCTGATCTGAAATGGTTAAGTAAAGAATGAGCTACACTACCCTAGTAAAGACATCACACTATATCACCGTCACAAAAGTAAAGATTGGTAAAAAAACTAAAAATAACCAATGGAGCACAAATTTTGAATAGATTTATTTATCAGTAATCAAACCATTTACCGTCCACTTACTTCAGTGGAATTTATAAAAATAACCCATGGAAACAACAACATCATAGATATCATGAATTCATACATAATCTGTAACATAGTACATGCCATACTTTTATATTTCAATCATCAAACAACAGTTGCCCCCTTTTTATCAGCCTAATAATATCCATGGGGATCCATAGGAGTCCCCGCTACACGTAAACCCTTCTCTTAACAAACTTAATTTCCAGGGCCGTCCCCATACCCCGTCCGTTATGGGCGCCAAATAATAAACCTCAATACCTCGTCCAGTATGAGGGAGAAGTGGGCCGTCCCCATACCCCATCCGGTATGAGCGCCAAAATATTTAAAGTCTCCATACCCCGTCTAGTATGAGACAACGTTCCCGGTAGGGTTCCCTATGGACCCGGTCCGTCCACCATCTCCCAGGATATCTAGTGTGACTGTCATCTTATCCAATTATCAATTCACACCCCTTTTCTATTTTTTTCTCAGTCTCTGTTACTCATTCAAAGATGAATGCTTAAACAAGTAACGTGCATCCAACAAGGCAAGCATATTTTAGATTCACAAAATCAAGCAGTAGTGAAGTAAACAGTGATTCATGCATTCAAAACCATAGAATAAATAAACCAGATACTATAATGCATTTAAACTATAAAATAAATCAAATAAGAACTGACACAGAAATATGTCCGGTTCGGGCTCCATTAGCAACCGTAATAAATTATACATATCTATTTAATTTATACAGATACAGTTTTATCATTGATTAGACTTTAATCCTGTGATAGGAAATAGAGTGAGAGGTCCTTACTTGATTCGACGTCAAAAATTGAATTTTCACTATGCCTACGGGCAGTCTCTGGATTCCCTGAATTTTTTTTCGAGAATTGAAACGTACTTACGGTACCTACACATGTCCCAAACAACTCAAAAATCAGACCAAGGGCTTACTCGGCCAATTTCAGAATTCCGGCACAGCAGCTCTGCCGTGCTCCGGCGATCTACCTCGGGTTGGCTGTTTCCGGCCGAATTCAGCCAAACTTGTATTAGTTCCTGTGAGAAAACACCCCTAGGGCCCTCAGTGGGCTGAAAAACTACCGAAAACCAAAACTTACCAGCGGCGGGACTCTCCGATGCGGCGGCTCCTCCGACTCGAGTCGCGATTTGGTGTTTTGCTCCGGTCAACCTGTAGATGAGGGAACGGTAGTCACAATGGTGAAAAAATTATATCGAACGGGAATCAGGAAGGACCTCATTGGAGGTAAAAATTAAGAAAACCCATGGCGGCACCGCTGGACTTTGGTGGCGTTTTCTGGCCAATTGGCTGGTGTTTTTGCTCTAATTTGACTATAGGTGTGATTAGCATCGAATTTTGAGCCAATGGAAGAATTTTTACTTTGTTTGGCGGCCGAAAATTACTCCGGTGTGGCGGCGGGTGGCGGCGGTCAGCTCCCTGGCGGCTGGGCTGTCTTCTCCGGTGAGGGGCTCTAGCGACTAGGGTTAAGGTTTTGGTGCGGATGAGATTATTTATAACCATCCGCTTTTAATATGAGCTGTCCATCGCGATTCAATCTGAGTCATCCGTGCGCATGCAATATGGGCTGTCCGTGTGCGTTTTTTATCTGAGCTGTCCGTGCGCGAGGGAACGGATCTCAGCCGTTCGATCGCGCGCACGCGGATAGCCCACGTGGCTCCTTTCCGTGTGGCCTCCCGCGTTAGCGTCTCTACCACGCGGCGTGTCCTGGTTAGCCGGGACTGCTGACCGGGATGCTGACGTGGCGTAATTTTTCTAAATTGCATTTTGCCGGTTTTCAATTTTCTTTTCAAAAATACCCCCATAACCCAAATTTTCACATTTTTTTTCCAAAATTGTTTTCAATTAAATCCCTAAATAATTTTTACCCATTATTATTATTTCTATTTAAATAAATAAGATTAAATTAAAACCATATATTATTACATAATAAATCATTATATCAATATAATAATTATAAAAATTAAAATAAAATAATAATAATAATAAAGAAAAGGGTTGGGGTGTTACACATATAATATCATATTAACATAATTTTCCTTTTTAACATATTAAAAGATTCATATTGACATGTTTCAATATTAATGATGGAATATTAAAAACTAAAACTTTAACAATACATACTTGGCTATGAGTTTCACTAGGATGTATTATCTCGGTTTCTAATTATTTTTTTTCCTTACTTCTTGGTTAGATTTTAGAAGTTCTTTGAGGATGTGTTGAAAAGCAAAAACTTATTCAAAAGATTAATGACTAATCTTTTTGAATTATCTCACACAATTTAACAAGATTTATAACTCGAATTTTAAAAGTTCTTTTGTTTGAAAATAATATTAATAAAAATCTTAATACTCTATTTATAGGCAGTCAAGGAGGGTATAGAGTGAAGAGCAAATGAGAAACTCTTTTAACATATGAGAATAAAGGATGATTATTTAAGGCAAAAAAAAAGAAAAATCTTGTCAAACCTAGTGATGGATACAACAAGAATGTGAAACTTTCTCTTTATAGAATGAACGTATTTTCTGATTCCACTTCTCGTTTTATTATAGTCTGTTTATACTCATTCTGGTTTCTTCATAAATGGCTCTAGATTAAGTGATTGATCAAAATTTCAAAAAATTAATTTTATGGAGTTCTTGATAACTTCATTGACTTCAAAATTAATTAAAATGCATAATTTTATTTTAAAAATTGATAAAGGTAGAAAAATAAAGGAAGGAATTATGTTATTTTAAAATATTTAGGGTGGGAAATTGGAGAATAAACCAATTTATGACACGTGGTACCCACATGAAGGGTAATAAAGGAAATTCACTATT